CTAGCCTCACCATCGCGTCATTTTGCAGTTCATTACTAAGCAATCACCTGGAAAGCATTACACTTTAAACGATAATCAACCAATATTAATGAAAATTCTTCAACTTTTTGGCACGTAATGATTGGGAAGACGATTTACAGAGACACCCATTTCTGAATTGGCGATAAATATTAATGAAAACCTAGACCCAATAGCAACCGAAACTGAGATAGAGTTCGGAAAATCGAAACAGAGAATTTAGAAGGGGAGAGAAAAAAACCTTCTCCAAATCGATTAAAGGAGTCATATTGGAGATGAACTGTTGCAAAGTCACAGCAGTCGATTTCTTCTTCGCCTTGTCTCCCACCATAGCCATTAGTGCTTCGCTTCTGTTGCTGCTGTTTAGTTTAAAGAGAGGCAACAGGAGAATTTTCCATTTTTAAGAGGTTTACTAAAATGCGTAAAATATTACTCTGGTCCTCAACTTTTGGCCTTGGCTTGTAAAGCTTCTCTCAACGTTTAACACCAAGCCATCATCACCTTAACAGGTTTTCGATTACTTCACAGCATTTTGTTTTGGTCTAAAAGACGGAAGAGGAGGGGAAGAAAAATAATTCTAATCAATCAAATTATTTCGTTCGATAGTCTAACAGCTTAATTCCATTGATTGAAAGAAAATCACCTCCTTTCCCTTTCTTTCACCTTCTTTCCTTCAAACAAAACAGGGTATTAATGATGTTTCAATGGTCAACTTCTATAATTCAATCAAATAATAGTCACTCTTTTAACTATCTTGTCTTGACATCTCCTTCAATTACAAACTTTATTTCTTGTGATACTCCAAAGTTAACCAAAATCTGTAACTTTTGATAAACTAAAATCTAGACAACTTACAATTACTGTTGTATATCAACATTCCAAGGTCAAATGCAATTACTAAAATAAGTACCCATTTTTATCAACCAAAAAAGAGTATAAAGCGGTACTCCAATCCGTACAACACATTATTTGTAAAAACTCATCAAGCCACTACAAGGACATCATCACCTAAGTTCAAAAAATAATAAAACAAGGATGATCGGAATGTTTGGTGTCATAATTTTCTGATGACTTTCTAGATAAATAACAACAAATAGAAATTAATCTTTACAAGAACATCCTACTAGGCTACTACCCATTTTCCTGAGCTCCGAAATATAGATGTAGCAAATTAGGCTATAAACTGATATGCCCTGAGCTGGGGACAAAGAATCTTATTCCATCAAGTTCTTTACATATTCAGTACAATATTCAGAGCTACTTAAATACTGGTCATGCTCTACAAAGTACTCAACAAAATGCTTTAAGAATGTCACCTCTTATTGTTTTGGTATCACACACAAGGCAGCACTGCCTATCTTCTTGCTTAAGTCACAGCCACATTCATTCGCCTGCTGTCACTTGAAAACCCCACCTAAACATATTTAAAATGCCACAATTTTATTTTTAATATAGAATCCACCAAAGGAAAAAATAGTTAGAACTTAGAATTGTAGCTTAGAGTACCTCTTTGGTAGAGTTAATTTGATCAAACCAGGGAAATCGTAGTGGCTTGCTGATCTCGACCTTGGACACCCATCAACAGTTGAGATCTTTACATCCCTTTAGCTGGTCCTCATTAATTGCTTCTCAACATCTTTAGTTAGACAACTTGAAATATATTTGGAATTTCAAAAAACAAACCATCATGTATTGGTCATATTGCGAAAGAAATGGGAGAAAAGGAAGGGTAGATATCTAGCCAGTATTTTGGTCCTCACTTTATTAAGCAAGTTTCAAAGTATATAAACTAAACAATTAACTAGAGCACAGTTCATTGTCTGGTACCTAGGCAGCATATAGGGTAATGTAATAGTTACAATGGACTCCACTTTAAGTCTAGTCCGTACGTAAAATATCAATCTCAGCTTCACCTTCATTTAGTGTGTTGTCTTTATCTTTCTTTTAATCCATGTCATATCTGAAGTAGATCAATCATGTATCTTCTACAAATTTAAGAGCTTAAATCAGTGAGTCCTAATGAAATTTGAGTACAAAATCAACGTCAAGTCAAGAAGTATGGTTCTTATTCTTCTGAATTATACTAGTTTTATTACATTCATGATTATTAAGAATCGAAGTTTAACTTGTTTAAGATTCACAAGGTCCACAATCTAAACTTTTGCATAAAACAGAACAATCTCACTTAAACACATTAATAGAAGGGAATTATTGTCTACCTCACATAACAATTAAAGCCAATATGCTAACAGTACACAAAGAAAAGTATAACTATTGCACCAAAACCAACAAAAATGTTAAGAGCTCCAAACCATTTATTTGAGTCCTCAACTTGTGAGTAGGAAGAACATCTCTGCATGTGGATGAAACTCAGAAGTTTTTTTCCCATTGGCCCTGTCTACTTTGAAATCAAACTCAAAATAAATTATAAGATAGCTAATAGATTCATTCCATTTTAGTAGCGAACAGAAAAATGGAGAACAGCTTTAGAAACTAACACTTGCAATCATTAAGATAATCTCCTATTGTTCAACTTTTCTTAAAAAATGAGGGCTAACCCGTGCATTAAGTGTATTGTCCAAAACTAGATGTAGAAAACGTGTAGGATAACCATTGTTGCATTGAGAACCATATCATTATGCACCTAAGGCTGAAAGTGAGCAAGGATGGAGTAGAAAGGGGTCAATGTAACATCTTTCTTTGACAATGTTGGAGGTCAATCAGGATTATTTTTCTTATAAGCTAGCAGTGAATTTGATTAAAGAATCAAACCTTGGCCACTTAGGTAAGAAAGTGTGGCACTAAGCCTTCTATTCTAGTTAAATGACTATGATCTCATTTAGGCTTGTAAAGATGTGACAATATGAATCACAGCCTGACTTGTATGTGATTCCTAAGGCCTACACTAAGAACTTTTTGGAGAGTAAATAACTGAAAAGCCATTCTCGGCTCCCAGTGTTCTTGTATTGTTGAACAAGAAGCAATCACAAAACAGAAGAGAACAACAAGAAGAAAGAACAAAGAAGAAGAGAAACAATGAATTGGTGATTTGATTGTTGTGGATTGGAATTACTGCTTTCTCTCCAACTAATTCATCAAAGATTAGATTGAAAACACATATTTATGTATGTACATGGTACAACCAAGATACATAACAATGCAACAAAATACATAAGAATACAAATGGTGTTCTAAATCAGTTTTCAAAACAATTAATTTACACACGGTATGAAAACAAAAGAATCACCCTAAAACAATCCACAAGGGTAGTAGAAGGGATATCCTTCGAAGCCCAGAAGGAAAAGCAACAACAGACTGGCCGAATGAACCAGCTTCTTGATCCACTGAAAAAACAGAGAAAAATTCATTACCGGAAAATCATGGGGAAGGGAAATTACGCACTACTAATACAATTTTTTTTTAGCGAATTTACATATATGCATTTTCATTCATAAAAAAATCCTCAATTTGTTGGAAATGAATGGTAGAACAAAGATTTGCAGAGTCATACCTAAATTAAAATATGCAAATTGATTCTCACCTTTCAATCTTCTGGATAACCCTTCGATTCTGACTGTTCCAACTCCGATAATGTATAATCTTCAAATTCAAGCATGAGTCGAAAAATTCATTACCAGAACATCACGGGGAAGAGAAATTAAGCACTACTATACATTTTTAACAACCACCAAGGAATTTATCTATGCATTTTCATTCATTAAATTTTTTTCCAATTTGTAGGAAATGAATGCCAAAACAAAGATTTGCAGAGAGTAACACCTAAATTAAAATAGCAAATTGATCCTTACCTTTCAATCTTGTGGAGAATCCACCGATTCCGACTCTTTCGACTCCGATTATTGTGTGCTGAAAAATTTAACCATGGGTCGAAGGAGATCCTTTGCGTTGGGATGGTCCCACTCCAACGATTCCCACCATTCCTCTTCTCGTTGACGTATGTAGATTGTTTTGAGGGGAGGAGGAGGAGATGGTTGGGCGTTATCAACCAGGGGAAGAGAAAGAGGCATCCTCCTTAGGCCCTTGCAACCACAAATTCTAATCTCTTCAAGAGAATCACATACCATTACTGCCCTCCTGCTACAGATGCTCTTCAATGCTGGCAAGTCTTGTAAACTCAGCTCTTTTAATTTTGGAAGAATGAGCTTCTTGATGGTGTCCCCTCCTTCTTCTCCTTCTTCTTCTGGATCCGATGCTATTATTTCTTCCATTTCTTCACAATCGAAGACTTCAATCTTCTCAAGACTTTGGAGATATTCCACCAACTTCCAAGATGGAAACAACTTATTTCCTCTTTTGCATTGCTGAACATTAACTTCTTTAAGAGATGAAAAGGTGCTAGGCTGAGGTGGTGACATGGCAATCAATTCTTCTTCAAACGCCCAATCCAAGTTGTCCAACCAAGCAAGAGATAGATTAGGAGGGAGATGAAAAGGAATCCTCCTTAAGCCCTTGCAATCATAGATTTTAATCTCTTCAAGAGAATCACATACCATTACTGCCCTCCTGGTACAGATGCTCTTCAATGCAGGCAATGCCCACAATTTCAGGAGTGTTAGTCTCGGAAGAATGAGCTTCTTGATGATGTCCTCTCCTTCTTCTCCTTGTTCTTCTGGATCTAATCCTATTATTTCTTCCATTTCTATACAACCGAAGACTTCAATCCTCCTTAGACTTTGCAGATAATCCACCAACTTCCAAGATGGAAACAACTTCTTTAATTTACTGCATGAAGAAATTTTAACTACCACAAGAGATGAAAATGTCCTAGGTGGAGGTGATGACTTCGCAATGATGTTTGCTTCAAATAGCCCATCCAATTTGTGCAAACCACAAAGATTCAGATGCTCAACGGTTTGGACGACTGGGTTGTTTATCAACGAGGAAAAAATGCACTCCATGCCATCACAATCCAGAATGCAACATTCCCTCAAATCTGTTGCATCATTGATTGTTGAAAAATCATTTAAGCTTCTTATGTCGTGGCAAGCGTCAACACATAATGCTTGTATGGAGGGAAATAACATATTCTCTCCAACAATACTAGTCTTCCTGAACACCACTATTTTCTTAATTTTCCCATATGTTGGCAGAATTTGTCGAAAACGATAATCCAGAACCAATTCGCTTCCAACATTAATAAAATAGTCACCCAGCCTAGTAGGTTGACATTTGAGAAAGATTCTCATTTCATTCACAGTGGGGAACCAACCATGAAAAACTTCCAACTTCTTCAATCTCCCAACCACGTCCCCCTTCAATTTTATTCTGCTCCAATTTACAATTAGTTCCTCAAGTTTGGAGAGATTTAACAATACTCCATCTGCTATTTCATCTATTTCAAGATTGTGACCTCTTTCTGATCCACAAAGAAAAAGACATTTCAAATCCTTCAACATTCCCAGGCCTTCGGGGACTTCCTTGATTTTTGTCCCCCTAAGGTTTAACTTTTTCAAAGATCCAAGGCCTGATAAAGATGGTACCTTTTCTAAGGATGTTGATTCCAACAACAATGTAGTAAGCTTCACCAATTTGGAGATGGAATTTGGCAAGCTACTTAGCTCCCAATTGAAGGACAGATCTAGAATTTTTAGCTCTGGCATGTGCTCAAAGACAGATTCTGGAATTGTTGACAATTTGTTACTGGCCAGCAGCAAGGTTGTGAGCCTTGGGCATGTTGAAAATGCAAAGCTCGATGGAATTTCTTCAATAGAATTAGACATTAATGAAACCTTTTCAACATCTTCTGTACATTTTACCTTCTCTGGTAGCTCTGTCAATGACTTGCCAGCTGCAACCAAGAACCGAGGGCTCGTTTGTGTAATGTGCAAGGCCATGTCCCTGATAAGATCATGCATGCTCACACAATCTCCAAAAAATTCACCTTCAATCAATTCCAACAAGCTATTGTCTTCAAGCTTCTTCAAAAAACCATAACCCGCATCCTTCATTGATTGCCGAGAGTCCATTTCATCTATAAACCCCTCGTCAATCCAACGTTCAATTATTTTCTCCTCCAAAATCTTGCAATCCTCAGGATACAATGCACAGTATAAGAAACAATATTGAATCTTTTGGTTCTTCAAACGATCATAACTGAACTTTAATATCCGAAATTCATCAGCATCTACACCTGCTACATTTCTGTTGCAATCTCTCAATTCATTCAGTGCAACACTCCACAACCGTGACTCAGATATTCCTTTTAAGCTGCCAGCAACTGTAATAAGTGCCAATGGAAGACCATCACATTCATCCACAATGTCCTTCAAAGTTGATTCTAAATCCCTTTTAATGCCTCCTCCTGTACATGATAAAGCTGCATCTCCAACTTTATTTAAAAACAATTTCAGAGCTTCATCTTTTGAAAGAGTCTCCACTTTGATTCTTCTACAACCCATTGAACGAGCAACCTCTTGTAACCGTGTAGTCAATACTAACTTGCAGCCATTAGACACATTTGGCTCAGGAACTCCAACATCTTCAAGTTCGAAACGGCTCCACACATCATCAAGAATCAGCAAGTAAGGCTTGTGTGTTTCCAGCATCTTTGACAACATGGATGCACGAATAGTTTTAT